CAGCTCAGTTCAGTTTAAATAGTATCTGTGCAATCAAGTCAACGTTATCGCTGGAAATGAAGTGTCCCCAACTAAGCAAGCCAGAGGCGGCAAGGAACCAAAACTCCATCGGTGACAGAATGGAGAAAAAACCTTGGGCGAAACCAGGCTCAGTCGGGGGGCCAGTTCTCCTCTGGCCAGACGAACCAGCAGTTCAATTCCAGGCTGCAGCAAAGTCACATTGTGCAGAGGACTCAACTGGTTCCTGTGGTATTGTCCCGGTGGCCGTCTGAGACAAGGTCTTTACTGGGGATCTGTATCTGGGGCTCATTTAGTTGTCCTGGTCTCCGCTGACATTCAGGGCTGTAGAGGTCCTCTCTAGGTGCTGATCCACCATCTGGTCTGGATACGTACTGGATCCGGGTGACTGCAGAGACCATCTGATCTGGATACAGACTGGATCTGGTGGCTACGGTGACCTCGGAATAAGAGAGAAACAGACTAATATTAGCATACATTCCATTCTTCTAACGATGTAGCAAGTACATCGGGTGTTATGGGAAGTGTTCCCGGTTCAGTTTGATCTAATTACTGCAGCCTAAAAATCCTTTAAACGGATTTCAATATTAGAAATGTGTTAGTGTGTTATGTGTAAGCCAGGTTAAAGAGATGGGTCTTTAATCTAGATTTAAACTGACAGCGTGTGTCTGCCTCCCGAACAATGTTAGTTAGGTTATATATAAAATACCTGCGGCTATGTTTGTTTTCTTCTAAAAGAGATGAAAAGTAATCAGATCTAGCAGTTTTTAATGCTTTTCTGTAGGATAGGTTACTTTCCCGCCAAGCAATGCGAAATATCTCTAGTTTTGTTTTCCTCCAGCTGCACTCCATTTTGCGGGTTGCTCTCTTTAGGGTGCGAGTGTGCTCTATTATACCACGGTATCAGACTGTTTTCCTTAATCTTCCTTAAGCGTAAAGGAGCAACTGTATCTAAAATGCAAGAAAAGTCCATAGTTTCTGTTACATCATCAAGTTGTTCTGAGGTTTTGGATATGCTAAGGAATTGGGATAAATCAGGAAGATTACTTACAAAGCAGTCTTTTGTGGTAGAAGTGATGGTTCTACCATACTTGTAACAAGGAGTAGAATTTACAGTTTTAGCTATATGAAGTTTGCACAAGACTAGATAATGATCTGAGATATCATTGCTTGGCTGCATAATTTCAACACCATCAACATCAATTCCGTGACAGTATTAAATCTAGAGTATGATTTCGACAATGAGTAGGTCCTGAGGCGTGTTGTTTAACCCCAATAGAGTTCAGCATGTCTATGAATGCTGATCCCAATGCATCTTTTTCATTATCAACATGGATATTAAAATCACCAACAATTAAAACTTTATCTGCAGCCAGCACTAATTCAGATAGAAAATCAGCAAATTCTTTAATAAAGTCTGTATGGTGCCCTGGTGGCCTGTATACAGTAGCCAGTACAAACATCACAGGGGATTTATCATTAACATGTGTTTCTCTGGATAATATTATATGAAGCACCATTACTTCAAACAAATTATACTTGAAGCCCGCCCTCTGAGAAATACTGAAAATGTTATAAATTGAAGCAACACCTTCCCCTTTACCTTTTGGACGTGGCTCATGTTTATAACAGTAATCTTGGGGGTAGACTCATTTAAAATAATGTAATAATCAGGTTTTAGCCAGGTTTCTGTCAGACAGAGCACATCTAGGTTATGATCAGTGATCTTATCATTTACAAAAAGTGCTTTCGTAGAAAGGGATCTGATATTCAATAAGCCAAGCTTTATCATTTGTTTATCCGTATTACATCTGTTTTTTATTTGTTGAACATCAATTAAATTGTTACTCTTAAATTGGTTTGGACGTTTTTTTTGTATTTTCTACTTCGGGGAACAGACACAGTCTCTGTGATATCTAGGTGAAAGAGTCTCTATGTGCTGAGAATTAACTGATTTCTGTGACAGAACTGTGCTAGACTTCGGAGCGGCCGGTAGGCTTTACTTCGGGGCAGCCAGCGGGCTTGGGAATGCCGTTCTGGTTCTGGCTCGGGGTCGGACGCTCTCCAGACGCTGTTCTCCAGTATCCCTTCCATCCAGCTTAGTCCCGTGGTGTCAAGGGGAGGTTCACGGGGAGATGGTAATTGGCCCCGTTCGAGAACAGAGAGTTGATTGTGGCGTCATCTAAAGCCGTCGCCACGGCGAGCCCGCAGAACTTCCAGGCGTACTCGACAAAGTGGAGATCCCTACGGACTAGGGCAATGGAGCATGCCACCCTAGAAAAAAAGGAAACCAAAAAACTTTCAACACGAAAACAAAAATGAGGAGAAGGGACGAGTTGACTTCAAACACAGAGACTTTAATAATATTCGAGGAACAAGGAAATCACACATAGCGGGGAAAGACAACATTCAATACCGGGCAGCAAACTAGGAACGGGAAACACTTTAAATACACAGGACTTGACGAGGGGAAGATGAGAAACACCTGGGATCAATAAACATAATTAAACATGAGGGAAAACTGGGCCATGGAACACGTGGGGAGCAAAACACAAGACACAGGACTGACAAAAAACATGGTTACTAAGGTAAGAACAAATTATGGTTTTGATAAAGTAACCATAGTTTAACCTTGGAATTTGTAGTAAAACTATGGTTATACAAATGATAATCAATCCACTAAAAATTATGGTTACTATACTTTTACTATAATAAAATCATAGTGAATTTTGGTAACACTTTACTTGAAGGGGTGTGCATAAGACTGACATTACACCTTCATAATCATGACATGATACATGTCATGAATATGAAGGAGGTTGTATGCATGTTTATGACAACTGTCATTAAGTGTCATTCGCTCAGTTATGTCATTTTTAATGTAAATATGACATTATTTGACCTAACCCTAACCTAACCCTACCCCTACCCTTACCCCTAACCATAGCCCATAACAAAGACATCTCAAACAATGTCATCTTTGCATTAAAAATGACATAACTGAGCGAATGACACTTAATGACAGTTGTCATAAACATGCATAAAAAACCTTCATATTCATGACATATGTCATGTCATGATTATGTAGATGTCATGTCATGATTATGAAGGTGTCATGTCAGTCTTATGCACACCCCTTCAAGTAAAGTGTAACCTGAATTTTTATAAGGGAAAAATATGACTTGTGATAATGCAATAACATGTTCAACATTAGGATCTTTCTATAGGAGTATCTGTACTACTTGAGTGAAGGATGTGTGTACTTTTGCCATCTCTGGATTAGATGTGATTTGTGCAGTTCACACTATTATGTCACATATGAGCAGAAAAATCATTTGGGGCAATTTTAATCTGCACTTTGAACATAGCCTGATGTTGATGTTATTTTGTCTGTTGTATATTCAAGTTAAGTTAACCTTGTCTTTAACTTGTTTGACTGAAATAAAGTGTCCCAATTTCTTTATTTAAGCAATATGCTACATTTATATATACATTAAAATCACAGATACACACAATGTCACAGTTTCTGTTAGTTTGGACTTTGTTTGCACTGTTTTCAGTCTTATTAGTTGTCATGGTTGTTGATTTGATTTTGTCATTCTGTTCAGGTGTCTCTTTGCTTGTGTATTTAAGTTGCTCTCTTTCTGTTCTTTATTGTCCAGTCTTATACATCAATTGTGTGGATATGTTGCTGTTCTCTCTATATGGATTATTGCCCTTTTGGAATTATTTAAGACTACGTACCTTCTATCTTCATCATCGTGCGCTTGTGTGTTTTACAGCAGCACTCCGTGACACACACACACACACTCACTCACTCACTCACTCACTTACTCTCTCTCTCTCTCTCTCGCACACACACACAGACAGAGAGAGAGAGAGAGAGAGAGAGAGAGATACATTTTCAGGAAAGCAGGATAGGGTATTTTAAGGATAATTTTGTAAAATACAAATAAGCTTTACAGATCTTTATTGGAATGGGTTTAAACAATATTTTTCATACTTGTTCAATGAATTATAAACAATTATTGCACATGCACCTGTGGAACAGCCCTTAAGACACTAATAGTTTACAAGCGGAAGACAATTATGGTCACAGTTACAATAACTTAGGACAGTAAAGAGACCTTTCTACTGACTCTGTAAAACACCAGAAAAAAAGATGCCCAGGTTCCCTGATCACCTGCGTGAACAGGTGAGTCAGGTGCAGGGAGGCATGAGGGCTGCAGATGTAGCCAGAGAAATACACTGTAATGTTTATAATGTAAGACACCTAAGACAGTGCTACAGGGAGGCAGGAAGGACAGCTGATTGTTCTTGCTGTATAATGTGTTCAAGAAATTAAATGTCTTGGTGGAAGAGTGAGGCAACATCTCGCAGCAAAAACCGGCAAATCTGGTGCAGAACATGAGAATGAGATGCACTGCAGTACTTATGCTGTTAAGAAAGTTTCTGAAAATAAAGCCAGTTCTTTTTTGCTGAGTATATAGAAAGACAAAAAACAATTAATATATATATATTAATATATAAGCAGTTAATATGTATGCAACATAAATATAAGTAATTTGGAATATATATATATAAATAAATATAAGTAATTTGGAATATATATATATATATATATGTATGTATACTGCAATTTGTTCTTACTGGATAGTTCATAAATTTCAAACCAGACAGCACATTAATGACATTCACTCAGGGAGTATATAATCTTTCTATGTTTCTATATAGTATTTATAACAAATTAAATTATCTAAAAAAAAAAGGGTACTGTTCTGGTAAACTTATGCATCAGAAATAATGATACACAATGCTGCAAACATATTTTTCACAACCAGAGGGAGGCGAATGATTGTAAATATTCTACTTGCTTTGTGGTCATAGAGTTCTTAAGTGTCTGTCATCTCTTTTGCTGACTCTGTCTCAGTCCTTACTAAACAGTCCATATTTACATTAGATGTAAGGTTGTATCACAAGTCTCAGGCACTGTTACATGCGATAGTTCCGTCACTCTTTTTACGGGATGAAATTGTTGATCCTTTCTCGTCAACACACCAGCAGTAGCCTCTTTGCATTCCTCTTGATGACCAACACTGTTTCAAGAAGGTCAAAAAGAAGATACAAACTATATTATTGTTTATAGAGAACAGATAACATTGTTACAATGTACATCATTATCATGGGCCACCTCATACGGATTTACAAATGGATTTAAAAAACATTTCAAGAACCATTGGAACTGTTTTAACAGAAGGTCCTAAAACACCTTCTGTGTTCTCTACACACCTGTTTCCTCCTGAAGAACCCTTGTCTGTCACAGTTGGGGATGTAGATGTCCGGAATTGAATGAATAATCGTGAGCTCTATACTTTGGAGGACTGTGCTTAGCAGTTTGCGACAAGGACCCTACAGAATTAAATAACAACAATGAAAACACATTATGAAAACATGTTTTCATTTCTGCCTAAAAATCAGACAGTAGGAACACTATATACTGTAAATATTTATGAAGAACATTAATTTACAGAGTCAATAATATATCTTTTTCAAAAATATTACCTTTTCATTGTTTTCAGTGGTTGATGGATGATAGTCTGAAACATAATACTTGTAGTTTTAATTTGATTACAATATAACTTTTGTTCAATTGAACCGCACATAGGTGGTTGTACTTAAAATAATAGTTCAGGACAAAGGTTCAAGAATACCTTGGACTTTAAAGCAGAGTAATATATATATATATATATATATATATATATATATATATATATATATATATATATATATATAGTATAAGTATCAGTATTTACTTTCTTTCTAGTGTATACATCTACATGCTTAGCTTTTAGGTTTAGTTTGTTTAGGTCAGTTCTTCAAAATGTTTCTAACCAGACAAAATCCATTTAAGACTAATCAATTTCATCTCAGTTTAAAGAGATGCAACAAGACCAGTGATCTTACCTGTAGGTGGATGGATGTCAGTAAAGGTACTTTTGATGTTTTTGCAGACCCCTCGTCCCTGAAGCAGTGCCTGAAGGGGGCTTTGCTCTCCAAGAGGATGGATACACCGAAGACCCTGAGTACAAGGTAGAGTGTAAACCCCACAGGGTTCACCTAATGCCAACATGGATGTGATCTCCTCTCCTGATAAATGTTCACCTCTGTGGCCCTTGGGTTCCCCTGAGGGCCCATTACACAATGTACAGATCTTCTTTAAGCCTAATACAAAGGAGTTAGAACCATATAAGCTGAGTTGAATGGTAACCAAAAGTGTTAGTAAATAATGAATAGAAATCATCTTTGTCCAATTTAGAAAACCTCAGTAGATCAAGAGTTTTTTTTTCAGATAATGGTACTTCTCTCTTCCGCTTCTCTTTCGCTTTTGATTGCCCTCTTTAATATTCACTGGAAGTAGTGTGGATGCGCAGGAGACATCAGGTATCTAAAGACAGTAATTAGATAAAAATTGCCCAAATAATGCAACATGGGCTGCTTTTAAAGTGCTGAGATGGTTTAGGGGTGGGAGGCTGAGAGAGCAGCATATGCTGGGCGTTAGATAAGAGGTGGAGTTACTTTATAACTGTATCCCTCCCATTTCTGCCACAGCTCCTTTTCAAAAGTTATATCCAAATTGAGCTAGTTTGAATTCATGAATTATGTGAACAAGTAATATTTTATGTTTCCACTGATGTATATAAAGAATGGGAATGCTAATGGATAGCTTTCTCTAGATATAATATAACTCCTTGGTGCGAACCCCAAACCAAAAATTGACATTTGTGTTAGCCATTAACTAACAATCTACTTAGAGATTGTTTCTACAACCTACTTAGACTTACAGCACTTTTGGGAAACACAGCCCTGTTTGGGGACAGTAGCATATATTGTGCTTACTGCAGTATATCCCTTTTTTTCTACTAATTTCTACTTGCAGAAGTATATAGGCAGAGCATGTTCTAAAAAAACAAACTAAAAAAAATAATTCTTTACTGATATTCACTTACTGTCTTTGCTTCATATAGTTGCCATTATTAAAATGGAGCAATTCTATCCAATTGTTTTTTTTATTAAAGATATCATGTAGTCTTTTATATTATCTTTTAACTTCACTGCCTCCCAAACACTGACCAGTGATGTGGATAGTTAGACACAACTTGTGATTAACGATATGTTTTAGCACTAGACTGGTATATTGGTTAGATTTAGTCTGCACAAACTCTGTCAAATAATAGATAATAATTTAAGAGACCGAATTTTAGTCATAACTGTTTTGACACAATCTGTAGTTACTATGTGAAGTAGTAATGTCGTCTTTTTTATGTATGCCAAATGGCTTCAGAACAATACCGTGATGTCCTGATTTGTGGTAAAATATTCAGTACTTCAACAGGAAAACTACTTTTTTTTTTAGTTGAAAAGAATTGGGGTCTATGTTTCCTATCTCCTGGATTTTCAGACTTAAAGGGTTAGTTCACCCAAAAATGAAAATTAGCTTGTGTTTTACTCACCCTCAGGCATCCTAGGTGTATATGACATTCTTCTTTCAGACGAATCCAGTCGGAGTTATATAAAAAATTGTCCTGGCTATTCCAAGCTCTATCATTGCAGTCAGCGGGTGTTGCAGTTGTACAGTCCACAAGTCGTCAAATAAAGCGCGCACATTCATAATAAACGTGCCTCACACTGGGGGATGAATAAAGGCCCCCAGTAGTGAATCCATGTGTTTTTGTAAGAAAAATATCCATATTTCAAACGTAATAAACACTTTTCTCTCACTTTCGTTATCTGTCATACGCGGAAGCTGTTCCAGCTGGATGACGCAGCACATATGCGCAGCCTCTGAGATATGCTAGTCTCGCGAGTTTGTTTATAGGAGCAAAGGAAGCAAAGTTTCCTTACTTTAGCAAAAGAAAACCAGTCTCCTCTTGGTTTATTTTGAAATTCTCTGACATTTTTCTTTGCAAATACTTGGTTTGTACTTTTAATTCATGACCGGCGTTTTGTTTTGTTCTCTCTCGCGTTCGTCACTAATCATGCAACGGCGACGTCTTACGTCATCCACCGGAACGGCTTCTGCATAGCCAGATAACGGAAGTGAGAGAAAAGTGTTTATTACGTTTGAAATATGGATATTTTTCTTACAAAAATGCATGGATTCACTACAGGAGGCTTTTATTCTGCCCCCCCGGAGCCGTGTGAGGCATGTTTATTATGAATGCGCAAACTTTATTTGACGACTTGTGGACTGTTCAACTGGAGCACCCACTGACTGCAATGATATAGCTTGGAATAGCCAGGACAATTTTTAATATAACTCTGACTGGATTCGTCTGAAAGAAGAAAGTCATATACACCTAGGATGCCTCGAGGGTGAGTAAAAAACACGAGCTAATTTTAATTTTTGGGTGAACTAACCCTTTAAGTGGCACTTACTTTAGGATGTTGTGATGGTGTATTATATTAGTTGATTTGGCAGCAAGACAAAAATGTCTCACACCCGCAGGAACACCCACACATTGCCAAGACTTGGGCTACTATAACAAATTGCTCTATTGCAATGTATATACTTTTTTCCAATTGTCTCCATGTTTTTCACACACACACACACACACACACACACACACACACACACACACACACGAAATCCTTTTTCATGAAGTCATGGTTGATCGCTTAATGTCTTTAAGCCTGTTTTTCGAGAACTTCACCCTTGATCTGTCATTGCACTGATTTCCCCATCGCAATGATGTCATAATTAATCGCCTCAAGTAGGAAAATGAGCATCACATCACAGGTGTTTCTGAGTGACATGGGGAAAAATTTATAAGGGCTTTCCCCTCTAACCACAATTTTTAAAACGTTTTACTGATATCCAAGGATATTAGTAAACATGCTGTGTATGTGCTTTGTCAGACAATATCTCTTTAAAAGATGTATTCCTGTTATGGAAGGGTTTACATACATGTTATTGGCAACCAGCTTCATTTCTACAGCTACAGGTGTGCAAGTCACCTACATATAAGGAAGGGTGACCCCACATTTGTCATGAATTATTATCATGAATTATAACTACTCAAATGGCATTGCACAATCCACAGTACAAAAGAAGATCATAAAAAAACACAACAAAAAGGATTAGCTGGTATGAAGCGACATAATTACCCACACCTACAGTATGTGTGTTTAAGTGCGTGTTATAATATAAAAATATCATTATACATTGTTTGCTTTAATCGATGAGAGTTTTGAACAAATTTTTTTTTTTTTCAAGGTAGCAGTTATACTTAATTTAATACTTAATTTATATTCTCTAAAGCTGAACTATGATTCTATCATAGAGCAAATAATGTCTCCCATCTTGGGACAATACCCCTGTCACAAAAAACTTCACCTGAACAAGATCAAGCAGAGCGTCACACTGAAGTCACTTCACAGGTTGTAATGTTGGCCAGTCATCGCCAGCACTTGTGTAAACTAACCTCCCTCTCCGAGGAATTAATAAGATTACCACCGAGGAAGCTAAGGTGGTGTTTGTCATGTCGCTTCTCTCTGGGAAGGCTCTGGACTGGGCACCATCGGTGTGGGAAAGAGAGCATGACAGATTACTTTCTTTCTTTTTCAAGCCAGACTCAGAGATGTATTCGAACATCCCAAGGGTGGTAAGGAGGCAACCAAGAAATTTAAATCTCATAAGTTGACTGCTGCTGAGCACAATTATGATGTTGAAAACAGAGTTTTTTTAGTAACTTACTAGCCATGAAGGCTGCTCTTAAAAAATTAAAGCACTGGTTGAAGGGAGTAAAACTTCCTTTTTAAGTACTAACTGACCATCGCTACTTGGAGTACATTCATTTCATCCATTCATCCTAGGCCAAAAATACAGCCAACTTTGCACGCAACTTTGACATCCGGGCAACTTGAAAATCCTCTAAACAACCCCAGCATGCCTTTTCCAACCACTACCTGACATTTCACTATGTCTTTCGCATGTTCGGATCCTCCAAGGATACTGTGTCAGATCAGGGGCCTCAGTTTACCTCCTGCATTTGGTCTGCCTTCTTTAAACAACTCGATGTCAATGTCAGTCTTTCATCTGGTTATCAATCCAAAGGACAAACTGAGTGCTTCACCAAGGGACTAGAAAATTTCCTTCGCTCACACTATCAATTCAAAGATGACTTGGGACAATTTCTCCCTTGGGCCTATGCTCAAAACTCTCTCATCAAGCCTGCAATAGGACTCTCTCCCTTCAAATATGTATTGGGTTACCAACCACTTATGTTTCCCTAGTCTGGTAAGCCATCGGATGTCCCCACTGTGGATGATTGTATTCATCACAGTGAGAGTGTCTGAGGAGGCAGTCCGAGTGTATACCTATTGGACTCACGATGCCACAATACCATCTACTAATCTTGCCTGATAGACCTCATCTGACATGTCCAGTACTGGCTACATCATTGGCCCCAATGGCATATAAATGGAACCTGTCAAGGTACAAGCCAGTCCCCTGGCCACAACCCATCACCTTAAAAGACTTGCAGTGCTTCCCTTTCCAACTTCCATTCCACTCTTCTGAAACAACCACCTTTGCTCTTCAGTCCATCATTTCTCCTATCCCTTCCATCTAGTGCATGAACTAACCCTTTAAGTCCCTGGTACATTGGTCCCTGGTCCATTCAGCATCCTGCAACAGGTAAATCCAGTCACTTACTAGCTATAGTTCCCTCTACAATAGCATGTGTTTCCCTTTTGTCTTTCCCTGCCCTCTGTCTTTCCTTCTGGTTCCGTGCTTGGTCCTGTAAAAAAATTCTCAAATCTACATCAAAAAGTCTTGAAAACATACTCAGGAAATAATGCATATTTCAGGAATGTTTGTTTTTATATATAATCATATTAATTATTAATTTGAAAAGGTTACTGCTGAACTTGAACATACATTTTTCATATTTTAGCTCTTCAACACAGATTAATATGATGGTTTGAGGTGTAACTGTGTTTCCATAGTAACAGGCAATGATTTTATTAGAGCAAATGTCACTAATAACATTAAAAAAAAACAACAACAACAAAAAACTTTTGGCTAATTGAAAACAATTGTTTTAAAATAATTGAAATAAATTGTTTTTAAGCATTGTCACAGTCTCTGAAATGTCTGATCTGATGATAAGTTGTATTACAGGGCCTTGTCACTTTCCTTTTTTTGCTTGTAAACTCTTCTCTTAATGAGGATTTTATTTTGTTTTAACAGCTAATGATTCCTCAGATGGTTACCTTTTTGAACAATCTATTGTTTGATGA